TTTAAATTTTATTCTCAAAGAAATAGAAGCTTTCGGTTTTAAAAAAATGTTGCTCAATTGCCGAATAATTTTCTAACCTGGTGAATGCGACACTTGAATTCAAGGTTTAAAAAGTGCGCACTGTGTACATCCTGTTTAAGGCAAAGCACGTTTTCGCCTACAGTTTGAAGAAGAAGTTACATATTTGTCATAAAATATTAAAATAGATGTGAAACATATTTTATACACTATAAGCAGCGTTCATACGATGTATTATGAATAAAAGCCTCACAATTGTAAAAAAGGTCATAATTAGAAGAGTGAAAAGTCTGCTGGTCAGCGAGTCTGAAAGCGCTCACTGCGGGATGTTTGGGCTTTGTTTTCCCGTCTTTTCACATATTACTTTCTTTTGACTAAATCAGCCGTCTGTCTCTCTCTGTCTTCCTGCAGGTGAATTTATGTGGTCGATTGTCAACAAGGACAGTCCTTATTTTCTGTGGTAAGTCCATTCTTCCTCTCTTTATCCTCAGCTGCCCGTTTATTGCAGGCGGTTGAGTCAGTTCCGTCAGCGGACGGTCAACGTTGGCGGTGTTTGCGTGTAGACAGGAGGAAGGGCGCTATATACCTGGTCAGTTCACGTCTGACAGCCAGGTTTTTTGCTTGCCGTGGACCCCCTTCCTTCTTACACTCCTGGGGTCTGATTGTGTGAGCTGATGTCGGCTAGTCGGTTGCCCGCAGGCCGATAGGAACCTCGAGGTAACCTAGTCTGTCTGCTAGCCTGATTGTGAGACAAGCAGACTGGCGGTCTGACTACTCACCAGTCGCGATTATCATTTTGCAAGAGGGATTTCGGGAATGCCTAATTTTATTCACAGCGAATGCTTGAACTTCTCAAGATTTATTGAGTCCAATAAGAGGAAATAAGCGTCGGTAGGACATTATAATTCACAGTAGACCCTAGAGCACTAACCTCTTCGAATAATTTTACTTTCGTTAGCGCTTGATTATTGTCTTCCGTCCCAGCCCAGAACAGGCACTGTTCGTAATACGGACGACTTGTGCTAAATTCCAGGGCATGGGTCTATTTGCCATTCCTAGAATTAAATGCACGAGTGCCTCTAGTACTTGCGGGGTGGGGATGTTTCTTTTCCCCATGCTCCGTCGAGTTTGGGAGGTGGCGGTATGTTAGCCCGGCAGATAAAATTTTTTTGCCATAGTGTTTTGTATGATATCCATGGAGGTATAGCAATCTGACTTGATGGTAAATTATATCCAGTGCGTTTTTTTGCGGGGTGGTCATAT